ACCAACATAACTGACAAACACACATGGAGAGGTACACAGACAGGCAACGATAAAGACAACCGGAGGTAGCCACCGCACCAAGTTAAACCAGGGAACCCAGTGACTTCACATCTCTGTCACTATGGTCTCAGGTAGCAGCGCAGGCCACTCAGATCAGTATGACCCCAGTGGCAGCATGCCTCCCCACCCCTCAATCCAGTATGGTCCAAGGAGGCGGACCATCCAGATGGGACAGACCCCCGGCTGCCGCAGAGCCATGGAGCCAGACATGGTCCTGGCAGCAGCACAGGCCTGGACATCACATGACCTCAGGTGGCTGTGCAGGCCACACACGTCGGCCTCACCACCATTGTACCTCCAGTTGGGCTCCTCTCCACAGTCCCTGAACTGCTCCCCTCCGCATTCTCTCCATTCTCCCCATAACAAGCTTACTTGCCCATCATAGAGGCACCCAGAGGCAGGCCAGGCCTGTGGCCTCCAGCTGGCTGTCTTGTATAATGTTTTAAGGAAAATGCTGCGGACCTCTGAGTGGCTGCAGTGGCAAAAACACTGCATGCAGGTCCCCAAGCACTGGCAGCGGGTCCCAAGAGCAGCCAGTCCCAGGCAGGATGGCGCAGTTCCCCAAATGGCTGCAGTGGATCATGAGGAGCAACAAGTCCCACGAGGAGAGACAGATCAATGGTCAGGCTATGAGACCACGCCACAGGTCTCCAATGCGTGGGCATGCCATGTAGAGTGAGGTTGAATATTTATTTAGTGGGTTATGGAAGGGAAGGGGAGAAGGGAGAAGAGCAGAGGGAGGAGAGAGAGAGAGAGAGAGAGAGAGAGAGAGAGAGAGAGAGAGAAGAGAAGAGAAGAGAAGAGAAGAGAAGAGAAGAGAAGAGAAACATAAGGGGGAAGGGGAGAAGTGGGGAGAGACGGAAGCTGCCTCTATGAAAGGGACACAAAGGAAGGAACTCAGGCTGGAAGCTGAAGGTCAGCTTGCCTTGGTGGACAGACAGGGAGGGAGTGGGTGTGGCTAAAGGGACAGAGCAGACCATTACACCTTGTTTTTGTTTTGAATCAGAAAAGAACATGAACGTTTTCACATGCATTTTCAGGCAGGCCCCATAGAGGTAATCATACCAAACTCTCTTAAATATAATTTCTTTCATTTTCCCCAAGGTACAAAGACGACAATTATCACCTTAATTAAAATAAAATGCCTGATCCTCACCACACTTCCTCTGTTTTATTTTCTTCATCACAATTATCAGTATCTGATACTAATGAGAGTCCTTAAGGTTTCTGGTTTGTTTAGTCCTGTTTTTTTTTTTAACTACTGTATCCTTGATTGCTAACGCATCCCTTATATTTTATTTAGACACTTTTGCGCCCTTTCCATAGGACACTGGGTTACTGGCTTTGTTTTACCAGCTCTTCTCTGGAGCCTGCAATAGTGGAGGGAGAAGGCCATGTTCATAGCCGGAAAAGTGATTTCTAAGGCTCGGAGTTCTGTCTGTGAATTCTTTGAGCTTTTATACCCCTGTGAGAATGAGTGCTAATTGTCACCCAGACAGAACCTAGTCTCATTTGGGAGATGGGCCTCTGCGCATGATTGTAGGAAGTGCCTTGTTTGCATTAACTGAGGCGAGAAGAACTGTCCGCTAAGAAAGGGAGTTAGCTGCAAGCAAGCCTTTGTTACACTCTGTTCCTGAATGCCCTGTGACCAGCTCCCTTGAGGTGCTGCTACTGCGACTTTCCCTCAGTGATAGACCGTAACCTGGAACTGTAAGTCCAAATAGATCCCTTCTCCCTCAACTTGCTTTCGTTAGGCATTTTTAAAAGTTTTTTATTTATTTTTTTATGTATATGGGGTATTTTGACATCTGGGTGCAGTACCGGAAGAGGCCAGAAGAGGGCGTGTAGACCCTGGAACTGGCATTAGACTGCGAACCACCACGGTGGTGGGATGGACCTGGGTATGCTGCAGGAGTAGCTGGTGCTCTTAAGTGCCCAGTCATCTCTCCAGCCTCTTGTTAAGGCGTCAGATCACAGTAACAGGAAAAGAAATTAAGACATTCATCCATTCCTCAGAGAGGAAATAGACTTCAGGAAGACACTGTTTCCCAAAAGATCAAAAGTCTTCTGTCCCGGCAGGATGGTGTCTCTCTGTGTAGTTTGCTATTGTTATTGTTGTTGTTTGGGAGGGGAGTCGTTTGTTTGTTCCGTTGTTCTGTATAGTTCTTTGTATAACTTGAATTCTCTCCTTTCAGGAACACATCAGGAAGCAGTCAGGAGGAATCTGCATATGTTCTTTTTCCAGCTTTTCAAAAAGATTTTAGTTGCACATTTTGGCAGAGTGCTGCTTAGCCAGCAGCATCCTCTTTCTCACCAAATGCCCACTTTCTTTGTCGACCCCCCACCAAGTTCCACAGTTCAGATCATTACCTCCTTCCTCATCGAGTTATGAGTAGACTCTATGGGTTTTGTTCTCTTGTTGATCTTAGGAGATCTTGAGACTACAGAGGGTTAATCTTGTTCCTCCATAAGCCAGGAATACTCCACAGCTTTATGGGAGCCTGTACAGTCCCTTGAAGGGAGCACTGTGGG